CTATCTCTGAAACATTAGTACCATGAGCCTGGTTGGGAGGCAAAGCACAAAAAGGTCACGCAAAGTGAGTCAATACAAGGTCCAGTATGGTGAGCATCCACATAGGCTCAGAGCAAGTGAACACTATGACATGGAGTGAACAAGCTAGAAATACAGCTTGGTTCAATCTAAGAGCTGGGTTTGTGTCCTGAGCACAGTGTCCTTGTAGCAACACTACAATAATACTTACTGATGTATGGCAAGGTGTAGCACTAAAGTGCAGAAGCATTCTGTAAAAATGGTACCATGGCATCACAGTGGCTCTGTGGTTAGCACTGCTGCCTCACAGCAGCAGGAACCCAGGTTCAATTCCACCCTCGGGCAACTGTCTGTGTGGAGTTTGCACATTCTCCCCTTGTCTGTGTGGGTTTCCTCCAGTTTCCTTCCACAGTACAAAGATGTGTAGGTTAGATGAATTGGCCATACTAAAGTGCCCATAGTACCAGGGATGTGCAGGCTAGGTGGGAAATGCAGGATTACAGTGCACAGGTGTGGGTCTGGGTGGGATGCTGTTTGGAGGGTCAGTATGGACTCGATGGGCCAAATGGCTTCCTTTCACTCTGTGAGAATTCTATGATTCTAAGATTAGTAATGTGCCATGAGGGTACTTAGAGGCTGGTACATATTGATTGGGGTGTACAGCTGGTGTATTTCAATCATGTCCTGAGGTGTTGATGCTCAGTCCACAACAAGGAGACTATTCTCAGCAAGTGACAAGCTGTGGTTGCCAGGTACCCGCTCTCACTTTCATGTTGAGAATTCTTGATGTCTAACTCATTTGGCATCTTTGGTAAGATAGGAAGATGAATATTAATGAGGTAAGTTGTAGCATTAAGATGTTGGACAAGCTATAATTCCCTTCATTGGCAACTCTTCACTACCTAGCACTACCTAACAATTGGTAAATGCATAAAAGGTGCAGCAAGATACTCCTGATATCGGCAGACATCTCATTGGATGTCTCGTCTGATTCTGCCCTAGCCCATGTCACTCAGACCCCTCTGAGATTCCATGCTATTTTTTAGGATTTTCAAACAGGTTGTTATCAGAATTGGGGGCAGGTGGGTGCCAAAATCAGATTGCTGTCCTCTTTGCCATTGTGTCATCACAATTCTGGTCCAAAGGCATTTTCAATATGTGCAATTCGAAGTCAAATTGATTACCTCCTGCCAAGTGGCTGTATAACCAATTAAGGGCAATTCGTTTTAAAATAACAGGTCTTATTAGGACCCTATTATGCCAACTTGGTGGCAAAAGGTCAAAAAATAGTAGGATACACCACCATAGACAGAGTTAGGCTGTAGCCATTGGCCTCGTTGGGGGAGGAATTCCCTCCTGGATTGTGGCCAGGCAGCTGTGACATTTTAAAACATAAAATAATCTTCCCTGGATTTCTCCCTTGCAGTCTCCATGCCTCATCACTGTCAATAGGGTTGCCAGTCATGAGTGCTGGAGGATCTGCCGTTGGCCCTCCAGCTTTGGGAGCCCACCCACTACCCTGATTGAACACAGAGTCTGTACACTGGCCTTTAATTGCTTGAAACTTTGAAAATTTTAGTCAGTGTGCTTGATCTGTAACTAGTTCCAATTTCAATTCCCCATTCCTTCACTGAAAATCCAGTCCTGTTTCTCATTTAGAATTGCAGAAGAATTGCAACTTAAAATACATAACCTTTAAATTGAAGAATGGTACAACTTGATTGACCACCACTTCTGAAGGCTTGACAGACACGGGTCCAAGTGCATCCGCAGCCTAAAATAAATGACCATATATGTTCATTCATTAGCATGTTAAAGCATTTTGATTACTTGTTCTTTTGACATTGTGTTATTATACTTAGTTGCTTTAAAAAAAAGGGGTGTGGAGCTTGCAGCTGCTTCTGAGTTGGAGGTTTTTCTTGTGATTTTCCTCTGGTTTTTCTTGAGCACGAGCAGAACGTTTTTCATTTAAAATTATTTTTGGAACTTTTATAGTCCAAAACAAAATTGTGAGGAAGGAGAGATTAGATTACATGGAGTTTGTGGGAGAGGCCTGTCCATGTGTTTGTCGAGGTGCCGATGGTTCTGAATAGAGGTTTTATTTTATGTTTACACGGAACGTGGAAGACTGACCTTTTCAACTTGTTTGTCAAGGTTTCGATATTAGTGGTTTAAATTTCCTTTACTCAGATCTGGAGATTTGAGAGCTGACTGATAGAGGACTTAGGAGGAACCTGTTTTAGTTTGCTGGGAGTTTCGGCTAACTGCTGGACTTTTAAGATTTTAATTTTTTTTCACTTTTGCATGCTTAAAATTAAAAGCTGGGGGTAAGGGAAGGGTAGTTTGTTTTTTTCTTGAAGGAAAGCCTCTTTTTAGAGCTTCTTCTTTTAGGCCTTTCAATGTAGAATGTAGTTTCTTTAAGTTCTCCCAGATACATAGTGTGTCAGCAGTAATCAGTCTACAAATACTGGACTTGAGAAAAGTGTGGCTCTTTTAAGGCAAATCAAGCTGTGCAAATTTTTAAGGAGCAGTCATGGTCGTCAATGGAGTGGTATGCTTCTCCTGTCAGATGTGGGAGATTGGGAAACAGTTGATGGTTCCCAGAGACTATGTCAGCAGGAGGTGCGTTTGGATCCGTCTCATATCAGATTGTTTGGATCAGCTGGAGAGGCAGTTAGAGTCATTGAGGAGCATACAGGAGACACAGAGTGTGATGGTTAGTAGATTTAGAGAGGTGTTTACACCACAGGGTCAGTCAGATAGACGGGTGACTGTCAGGAGAGGCAGGACGGTAGTTCAGGAGTCTGCTGTGGCTATTTCTTTCTCAAACAGAAGTACCGTTTTTGTACTGTCGAAGGGGATAGTCTGTTAGAGTAAAAAAGAAGTGGGAGCTCGATCGTGGGCACAAAGAATGAATATTATATTAAGCAGGATTCGTCAAGATACAAAAGAGTAATCGTTAGAGGGGACTCTATCAGGGGCACAGGCAGGAAATTCTGCGGCTGTGATTGTGAATTCACATGGTATGTTGTCCCCCTGGTGCCAGGGTCAAGGACGTCTCAAAATAGTTGTAGCATATTGTCAAAGGGGAGATTGACAAATATGAAGTTGTTGCAGACATGGGTATTAATGACATAATTAGGGAAAGGGTTGAGCCTTTGCAGAATGGATATGGGAAGTCAGGTAGAATGTTTACAGAGCAGAGCCTCAAAGGTAGTAATCTCTGATTTACTCCCGGTGCCACATGCTAGTGAGAGTAGGAATAAGAAGATAGGGCAGAATTATCAATGGCTGAGGAGATGGCGCAGTGGGCAAGGATTCAAATTTTTGGATCGTCTGGATTTCTTCTGGGGCAGAAAAGGCCTGTTCAAAAAGAATGGGTTTCACCTGAATTGGAAGGAGCCCAATATCCTGACAGGGAGATTTGCTAGTGCTATTCAGGAGCAACTAGTAGGTTGGAGGTGGGGTATCCTAAGTAGTAGTGAGAATAGAAGGACAGATGAGGATTCTTCTGAATTAAAAAAAAGCAAGTTATTGAGAAAAAGAAGGCAAGAGCAAGTCAGAGAACAAAGTAACTCTGACAAATTAAACTGCATTTATTTCAATGCAAGGGGCCTTACTGGTAAGGAAGGTGAACTCAGGGCATGTATGGGAACATGGGACTGATATATTATAGCTATTACAGAAACATGGCTGAGGCAGGGACAGGACTGGCAGCACAATGCTGTAGATTTTAGATATTATAGGAAGGATAGAAAGGGCAAAAGGGAGGCAAGAGAGGAGATGAGTGGCATTTTAATTAAAGGAAACATTACTGCTTTACTCAGAGAGGATATTTCTGAGGGATTGTCCAGTGAAGCCAAATGGGTGGAAACCAGAATTAAGAAGGGGATGATCATCTTGATGAGATTGTACTATTGCAGCACCCCACCCCCCACCCCCATCAATAGTCAGAGGGCAAATTGAGGAACAAATATGTAGAGATATCTCAAATATATGTAAGAATCATAGGGTTGTAATAGTAGGGGATTTTGACTTTCCAAACATTGACTGGGGCTGTCAAGGCAGTAAGGGCTTGGATGGTGAGGAATTTGTTCAATGTATTCAAAACAATTTTCTTTATCAATATGTAGAAATATCTACCAGAGAAGGAGCAAAATTTGACCTTCTCTTGGGAAATGAGGCAGGCGAAGTGAGTGAAGTGTTAGTGGGGAGCACTTTGGGACCAGTGATCATAATTTTATTAATTTTAAAACAGTCATGGAAAAGAATAGGCCTTGTATAAAAGTTAATGTTCTTAATTGGAGTTAGGCAAATTTTCATGGTATGAGACAGGAACTTTCAAGAGCTGATTGGAGTAGACTGTTCGTAGATAAAAGGTCGACTGGCAAGTGGGAGGCTTTCAAGAGTGAGATAACGAGAGTTCAGAGGGATTATGTTCCTGTTAAAGTGAAAGGGAAGACCGCTAAGAGTAGGGAACATTGGATGAATAAAGTTATTCAGGTTATGATCAGGAAAAGGAACAGTCATATGTTCGATAGAGATAACTGGGATCAAGTGAAACTCTAGAAGAGTATAAGGGGTGTAGGGGCGTTCTTAAGAGGGAAATCAGGAGGGCAAAAAGGGAATGAGATAACTTTGGCAGATAAGGCTAAGGATAATTCAAAGAGATTCTACAAGCACATTAAGAGCGAAAGAGTAACCAGAGAGAGAATAGGCCCCCTTAAAAATCAATGAGGTCGTCTATGTGTGGAATCACAGGAGATAGGAGAGATACTAAATGAATATTTCACGTCAGGTTTTACTGTGGAGAAAGAAATGAAGGTTAGGGAACTTGGGGAAATAAACATTGATGTCTTGAAAACAGTCCACATTACAGAAGCAGCAGCGCTGGAGGTCTTAAGAAACATAAACGTAAATATATTTCCAGGACATGTTCAAGTGTCCAGGATGTTGTGGGAAGCTAGGGAAGAAATTGCAGGATCCCTAGCAGAGGTACTTTTGATTTGATTTATTTATTGCTACCATGCGTACCAAGATACAGAGAAGGAGATATCTTACATGGTTTACCGACAGATCATACTGTACCAGTGGATCAGGATAACAAAATAGAGTGCAGAATACGGTGTTACAGTGGGGAGAGCAGAGACCTAGGTCTCAGTGTTTGGCGATGACTTTGTTTGGAATTATGGTGTTAAAGGTGGAGCTGTAGTCAATAAATAGGAGCCCGAAATATTTGTATCATTTACAGCCTGGGTGAGGTGCCAGAGGACCTTTTGAGTGGCTAATGTTGTTCCTTTATTTAAGAAAGGCTGTAAGGCGAAGCCTGGGAACAGTGGGCATGTGACTCTGACATCAGTGCTGGGTAAATTGTTGGAGGCGATTCTGAGAGATAGGATTTACAAGCATTTAGAGAGGCAAGGACTGATTAGGATAGTCAGCATGGCTTTGTGCATGAGAAATCATGTCTCAAACTTGATTGAGTTTTTTTGAGGACATAACCAAAAAGATTGATGAAGATAGAGCGCTCTTGTACAGGATGCTGGTGAGGCCACTTTAGTACAGTGTACAGTTCTGGTCTCCCTGCTACAGGAAGGATATTATTAAATTGGAGACGGTTCAGAAAAGATATACCAGGATGTTGCTGGGACTGGAGGTTAGGCTGGATAGGCTGGGACTTTTTTCACTCGAGCGTAGGAGATTGAGGGGTGACCTTCAAGAGGTTTATAAAATTATGAAGGGCTTCAATAAGGTGAATAGCAAAGGTCTTTTCTCTAGGGTGGGGGAGTTCAAAACTAGGGGGCATATTTTTAAGGTGAGGAGAAACATTTAAAAGGGACATGACGGGCAACTTTTTCACAGCGGGTCGTTCGTATGTGGAATGAACTACCAGAGGAAGTAGTGGATGCAGGTACAGTTACAACACTTAGACATTTTGATAGGTACATGAACAGGAAAGGCTTAGAGGGACATGGGCCAAATGCAGGCAAGTGGGGCTAGTTTTAGTTTGAGAAACCTGTGCGGCAGGGACGAGTTGGATCAAAGGATCTGTTTCCGTGCTGTATGATTGTATAGCTCTGTGACTATGACTCTATCAGCAATTCTGTTTTACATTATTGTGACCATCAGCCAACATTATGCTGACTGAAATTGCATGAGTATTTATTATGTATGAGGTCTTCTTCAATTAAAAGGCTAACATTAAGTAGTGATAATATAAATTGTCTCTATTTATTCAGTATATTTGTGAAATGTCAATTAACGCTTAAATGTAGAACATACTATGAAATAATGCACATTTACATTAGACAGCAAATAATATGTAATAGAAAAATACAGAGCATATAGTGATTTTAATAAAATAACAAACACGTCAGTACCTCAAAATTGGTTGCTCTTCCTGTTTCCCTGGAGAAAATGGGCATAACAATACTCAATGTCTACCCCTAATAATGCTATTTAATTCCAAGTTGTTGTTGCAAATTAAAAATTTTAAATCTGTGCCATTTCCTTGGAGCCAAGCCAAATCAATGCTGTGTAATGGAAACAAAAACTCTGGCATCATTAAAGTAGCAATTGAATTGAATGCAGAATATTTTTGTCTGGATGAATGATTTTAGGTGGGCCACATTACATTCTCCATCAATGCCTGTCATATTATCTTGAGTCTACTTTCACTGTTTTGTATGATTTGCCCTTTGCTTTAATCTAGTGCACATTTTCTTAAAGTAATGTTTACAAAACAATCTAACAAATGCTAAATTTTGAGATTATTCTACAGTCTGCTGCCAATAAACAGAATGGACATCAACTTGAAATATTGGACAAAACTTAGTTAGTGCTCTGCTCGCCCCGCATATCGATTGGCGAACTGGTAGAAGCCCCATGTCATCTTTCTATGAAAGACTATTTAAGTTCAAAGAGGAATTTACTTCAAAATATTGGGTCTCCTACTCAATCAAGGATCCAGCAAAATGGAAATTCTGTCCTCAAGATCCTGTCAATGCCACTGGCTGTTGTAGCTGTTGCTGGTAATGCCAAGGCCTTTCTCAGGGATCATCAGTGAGTGTCTGGAGAGAGGTGGGATGGGGATTGAAGGAATGGTGATGGTGCTTTTCAAAGAGGCACCTCCATTATACAGCAGACATGGCAGACCCACCATGGAAGTCCAATTAACTCAGGAATAAGTGGTTTCAAGTGGCTTATTAATGAGCCTAATTGCCCCTTGCTTCCAGCAGATGATATTTCTGTTTGGGCCTCTTCCCATTCCCTGACAAATATGGGATAGTCTTCCTGCCCCCTGGGGATTGATTGTGTACAGTTCTTCCAGATTCCCTGGCCATCATCAAGCTTGCTACATCAGACTTCATTAAATTCTACCTGTGAACTTTGTTTCTCTTGATGTGGAGGTGCTGGTGTTGGACTGAGATGGACAAAGTCAGAAGTTACTAGACACCACATTATGGTGCAACAAGTTTGAAATCACAAGCTTTTGGAGCATAGCCCCTTCAAATAAACCTGTTGGACTATAACCTGGTGAGGTGTGACTTCTGACTCTGTTTCTCTTGCTATGAATGCTGAATGGGCATATCCAGCCTTTCTGTACTCGCAACAAAACCAAGATATTTGCCATAAATAACATCAAGTAAGCAACATAAATGAAATAAATGAGGAGAACTGTTTTGTTATTTTAAATAAAGAATATATAAAAATTGCATAAATTGGAATCTTGATTTGATTATCATTAATTATACATAATTCAAGTTCTCAGTATATATGTACTTTACTTACTAATTCATCCTTCCAATCAGGGGAAACATAATAAGGGAATGTAAAATGCTGAATGTTTCCAATTGCAAAATGGTATTCTTCTTCATTTCCCTGAACTGTCCTATCATTGGAAAACATGCTGCTCTCTGTCAATGAAAAAAACAAATGGAAAACATTTTAAGACAAAAAAAGTGCAGAGAAGGTAATCTTTTTTATTCAATGTAGTTCCATTGGATCCAAAATTTGCCTTCAGCCTGACAATGGATGATGAGTAGATGTGCAGATAGGAACTGGAGCATGAAGCTGATCGGAGCTGAAATTTGGAGCTAGACTTTCTTTTCATTAGAATTCCATCCCATTCAAAATCTTGTCTTAAATTCTATCAAGCAGATACATATATATATTCACCAATGTCAGCGAGTGCATCGGGATGAGTGGGTTTTCTGCTCTTCCCTACAGATCAAGGAGGCAATTCAGAGAAAATTCTGTGAATATTTAAAGGATTTCATCCCGTTTCCCTTTTAAAGGGGTCACAGGATTTTCACCAGCTGAAGGCTGAACATGATTCTACGGATGCTGCAGGATTGGCTTCAGACTTTTCACAGACAGGAAAATGATTAACAAGGAGATAGTTAGCTTAAAGTTGACACCTAAAAGCTACTATCCAAGTTGAAGGTATAATTAACATTACTAGTTTGAAATCAAGAAGAACCCTGCTAATTCCTAAACTGAGAGGCATTGAACTGTTCTACATTCTGGCAAGGGATTAAAGATGTGAACTATAATGCATCCTATGGGCACAGATTGGAACAAAGTACCATGGCCTCGTAATCTGAATGGACTTTGTCGGTGGACTTGCAGTTACTCTTCAGCGTTTCTGCAGGGTCAGTGTTAAAGTCTCTCTCACTTGTCTCTCTAAATTAACGATCATTATAAAACTATAGACAGCACACACTATAGACAGAAAACACATGCTTCTACAAGAATCAGACAAAAAAACACCCACCTAAAAGTAGTTTCAACAATTGCTGAGACTTAGCCGCATTGCTAGTTCTTAAACCAAAATGTCAACTACAGGATAAGTCATCATAATGGGAAGTTGGGAAGTTATGATGCAGGAGATTCTGTGGCCAGCAACGGGAATCCAGGATGATGTGTTGCTCCCCAGGTGCCAGGGTCTGGGATGTCTCGGAGTGGCGGCAGAACATTCTGAATGGGGAGGGTGAACAGCCAGAAGTCATTGTGCATGTTGGCACAAATGACTTAAGGAGAAACAGGCATGAACTCCTGCAGAGTGATTATACAGAGCTAGGAAAAAAGTTAAAAACCAGGACCTTGAAGGTGGTAATCTCCGGATTACTTCCAGTACCATGTGCCAGTGAGGTTAAGAACAGGAGGGTATGGCAGATGAATGCGTGGCTAAAGAATTAGTGCAGGGGGCAGGGATTCAGATTCCTGGATCATTGGGATCTTTTCTGGGACAGAGGTCACCTGTTCATGAGGGACGGGTTACACTTGAACCAGAGGAGGACCAATATCCTGGTGGGCAAATTTGCTAATGCTGCAAGGGAGGGTTTAAATTAGGTTGGCAGGGGATGTGATCCTAAACAGCAGGGAGGCAAGTGCGAGGCTGGAAGGAGACACAATAATCAGAAATAGCAAGTTGAAGATACAGGTCAGGATGGAATAGGACAGGGAGCGAGGAATACCAGTTGAATTAAATTGCATCTATTTCACTGCAAGGGGGCTGACAGGTAAGGCCGATGAACTCAGGGCGTGGATAGATACGTGGGACTGGGATATTATAGCCATGACAGAAACATAGCTAAGGGAAGGACAGGACTGGCAGCTTAATGTGCCAGGGTACAGGGGCTTTAGGCGGGACAGAGGTGGAGGAAAGAGGAGAGAGGGAGTTGCATTAAGGGGAGTATCACAGCACTAGTCAGAGATGAGATAACTGAGGGATTATCCAGTGAGGCTTTATGGGTAGAGTGAAGAAATAAGAAGGGGATGGTGACATTATTGGGGTTGTACTATAGGCTCCCAAATAGTAAATGGGAATTAGAGGAACAAATAGCAGGGTGATTGAGGAGAATTGCAGGAGCAACAGGGTTGTCAGGGAATTTTAATATTTCTAAAATAGACTGGGACTGCCATTGTGTTAAGGGCTCAGACGTGGTGGAATTTGCTAAATGTGTTCAGGAAAGTTTCCCCAAGCAGTATATAGAGTGTCCTACTCGGGAATGGGCAAAACATGACCTACTCTTGGAAAATAGGGCAGCACAAATGACTGAGGTGACAGTGGGGACCACTTTGGGACCAGTGACCATAGTTCTATTAATTTTAAAATAGTTATGGAGAAGGACAAAGCTGGTCCACGGGTTCAAGTTCTAAATTGGGGCAAGGCAAATTTTGATGAAATTAGACAGGAGCTTTCAGGGGTTGATTGGAGTAGTTTGTTTGCAGGCAAAGGGACCTCTGGCAGGTCAGAGGCCTTTAAAAGTGTGATAGTTAGAATTCAAAGTCTATATGTTCCTGCGAGGGTGAAGGGCAAGGTTGGCAGGAGTAGGAACCCTGGATGACAACAGATATTGAGGCTTTGACCAGAAAAAAAGAGGGAGGCATGGTTCAGGAACAGGCAGCTGGGATCAAGGGAATCCCTGGAGGGGTACTGAAGGAGGAAATCAGGAGGGTGCAAAGGGGGCATGAGATAGCTTTGGCTGAGAAGATTAAGGTGAATCCAAAGAAATTCTTTAATTACATTAAAGGAGAAATTAATGGTGAGAGAATAGGACCCCACTAGGACCAAAGTGGACATGTATGTCTGGAACCACAGGAGATGGGTGAGGTCCTCAATGAATACTTCTCCACTGTGTTTACCGTGGAGAAAGACAAGACTTGGGAAATTGGGGAAGTTAGTGGCGATATTTTGGGGACAATCCCTATCACAGTAGAGGTGGTGTTGAAAGTATTAGAATGTATGAAGGTGGATAAATCTACTGGTCCTGATCAGATATATCCAAGAACCCTGCAAGAGGCTGTGGAAGAAATTGGAGGGGCCCTGGCTGATATATTTGCATCATTGTTGGCCATGGGAGAAGTCCTGGAAGACTGGAGGGTACCAAATGTTGTGCCTTTATTCAAGAAGGGCTTCAGAGAAAAACCTGGGAATTATAGACGAATAAGCTTAACATCTGTGGTAGTTAAATTACTTGAGAACATTCTGACGGAGAAGATGTATATGCATTTGGAAGAACAGGTTTGATTAGGAGTACTTAGCATAGCTTTGTGCATGGGAGATCATGCCTCACAAATTTGTTAGAGTTCTTTTTTGAAGTGACCAGGGAGATTGATGAGGGCAGGGCAGTAGACATAGTCTAAATGGATTTCAGTCAGGCCTTTGATAAGGTTCTACATGGTAGGCTGCTCTGGAAGGTTAGATCACATGGTATCCAGGGAGAGCTGGCAAATTGGATACACAATTGGCTTGATGGCAGGAAGCAGAGAGTAATACTGGAAGGATTCTTGTCTGATTAGAGGGCTGTGACAAGTGGTGTGCCTCAGGGGTCGGTTCCAGGCCCATTACTGTTTTTTATCTATATCGATGATTTGGATGAGAATGTACAAGGCATGAGTAGTAAGTTTGTGGATGACACTAAAATAGGCAGTATCATGGACAGTGCGGAAGGTTATTAGAAATTGCAGCAATGGGGAAATGGGCCGAGAAATGGCAAATGGAGTTTAATATAGATAAGTGTGAGGTGTTGCATTTTGGAAAGTCAAATCCAGGCAGGTGTTTCATGGTGAGCGGTAGGGCCTTAAGGAGCGTAGTGGAAGAGAGGGACCTTGGAGTTCAGTGCATGGTGCTCTGAAAGTGGAGTAACAGGTAGATTATAGAATCCCTACAGTATGGAAACTGGTCCTTTGGCCCAACAAGTCCACACTGACTCTCAGAACATCCCACACAGACCCATCACCCCATAACCCACCTAATCTACACATCCCTGAATACTACGGGCAATTTAGCATGGCCAATCCACTTAGCCCGCACAACTTTGGACTGTGTGAGGAAACCAGAGCACCCAGAGGAGACCTGTGCAGACACAGAGAGAACGTGCAAATCCATGCAGACTTTTGCCCAAAGTTGGAATCAAATCTGGGTCCCCGGCACTATGAGGCAGTAGTGTTAACTATTGAGCTACCATGCTGCTTAAGGGTCAAATGTGTTTTCATAGTCATTTGTCTAATTCTAAAAGTTCTACAACATTAATTATAGAATCCCTACAGTGTGGAAACAGGCCATTTGGCCCAACAAGTCCACATTGCCCCTCTGAAGAGTATCCCACCCAGACCCAATCCCCTACCCCTGCATTTCCCTTGTCTAACCCACCTACTCTAAACATCCCTGGGCACTATGGGCAATTTAGCATAGCCAATCCACCTACCCTGCACATCTTTGGATTATGGGAGGAAACTGGAGCACCCAGAGGAAACCCATGCAGACACAGGTAGAATGTGCAAACACATTCAGTGCAAACCACAGACAGTCACCCGAGGGAGAATTGAATCTGGGTCCCTGGTGCTATGAGGCAGCAGTGCTAACCACTGAGCCACCATGCCAATAGGGCAGTGAAGACGGCTTTTGGCACACTGGCCTTCATCAGTCAGGGTATTGAGTATAGAAGTTGGGAAGTTATGAATCAGTTGCAGATGACGTTGGTGAGGCTGCAGTTGAGTTTAGTATTAGTTACCTTGCTATAGGAAGGATGTTATTAAACTGGAAAGAGTGCAGAAGATATTTACAAAGATGTTGCTAGGACTCAAGGGACTGAGTTATAGGAAGAGGTTGGAGTGTTGGAGACTGAGAGGGGGGAGTCTTATAGAAGTGTATAAGATCATGTGAGGCATGGATAGGATGAATGCACTCAATATTTTTCCCAGGGGGCATCAGTTTAAGGTAAGAGGGGAAAGAATATATAGGAACCTGAGTGGCAACAATTTTACACAGAGGGTGGTATGCATGTGGAATGAACTGCCAGTGGAAGTGGTTGAGGTGGGTATATTAACAACATTAAAAAGGCATTTGGACAAATACATGGATAGGAAAGTTTGGAAGGAAATGGGCCAAGTACACGGAAATAGGCTTAGCGTGGATGGACATTTTGGTCAGCACAGACCAGTTTGGGCCAGAGGGCCTGTCTCCATGCTGTAGGACTCTATGACTCTATGTTGATCTTAAGGATCAATTGGAACTAATTTAGCTATTTTACCAAGATTCCACTTGAATAATTTAGAATCATAATTCAGTTGTCTTTTCTTTTGCAATGTGGACATTCAAAACCAGTTAGCAATCATACTTCCAAAATGTAACTTAATAATAATTTATAATGCCATATCACATGCGGCTATAGGCCAAGTGCTGGAAAATGGGATGAGAATGGATGGCTGTTTGATGACCAGTGCTAACATGGTGGCCTTTTTACATACTGTAAATCTTTTCACTCTATAAATAATGCAAAGCCTTCACTTCCTAGGATGCATGAAAAAATAAAATATATCTGAATTATAAATATACAGTCACTGGCATACATTGCACTCAAAATCTTTATATAATTCTTTCAAAAAAAACGATTGCTTACCTTTTACACAAAGTTTATTTTCCAGTTGTCTTTTGAGTTTTTTGACAAGTTTTCGCAGCAAAATCAATCTATGGTTTACCCTGCACTGTATAATAACCTAGGGTTAAAAGAAACAGCAGCTATTAAAATATTAGTACAAGTGATGAAAAACTCTGTTAAATACTTTGGAAACATTGAAAGTTTTTATAAAATTTTCAAAGTCGTCGTCATACAGCACGGAAACAGGCCCTTCGATCCAACCACGCTGACCATAATCCCATACTAAACTAGTTTCACGTGCTTGTGCTTAACCTATATCCCTCCAAACATTTCTTATTTATGTACTTAACCAAATGTCTTTCAAACGTACCTTTACCTGCATCCACCACTTTCTTAGCAAGTTCATTCCACACACAAACCACTCTGTAAGAAAAAAAACGCCCCCATGTCTTTTTTAAATCTTTCTCCTGTCACCTTAAAAATATATCCTGTAGTCTTGAAACTTCCCACTTTAGGGAAAAAAAAACCTGTCATTCACCTTATCAATACTCCTCATGATTTTAAAAACCTCTATAAGATCACCCCTAAACCTCCTACATTCCAGTGAAAAAAGTCCCAGCCTCTCCTTATACCTCTAACCCTCCAATCCTGACAACATCCTGGTAGATCTCTTTTGAACCTTCTCCAGCTTAATAATATCATTCCTGTAACAGGGCGACCTGAACTGGATACAGTCCTCCAAAAATGCCTCACAAATATCTTGTATAACCTCAACATAATGTTCCAACTCCTATACTCAAAGATCTGAGCAATGAATGCATTGTGTGCTAACTGCCTTCATAACACCCCTATCTATATGTAACATGAACTTCAAAGCATTATGTATCTGTACCACTAGGTCTCCGTTCTACAACACTACTCAAGACCCTACTTTTAATTGTATAAGTCTTGCCTTTGTCTGTTTTACCAAAATAAGATACCTTGACCAGTGGCTCAGTGGTTAGCACTGCTGCCTTACAGTGCCAGGGACCCAGATTCGATTCCACCCTTGGGCGAATGTCTGTGTGGGTTTCCTCCCACAGTCCAAAGATTTGCAGTCTAGGTGGATTGGCCATGCTAAATTACCCATAGTGTTCAGGGATTTGTAGATTAGATGGGTTATAAGGTGATAGGTCTGGGTGGGATGCTCTGAGGGTCAGTGTGGATTTGTTGGGCCGAAGGGCCTGCTTCCATACTGTAGGGATTCTACAATCTATCCAAATTAAACTCCATCTGCCACTCTTCAGCCCATTGACCCAAATGATCAAGATCTCTTCGTAATCTTAGATGACCTTTGTCACTGTCTACTATATCACCAATTTTGGTGTCATCTGCAAACTTACTAACTATGCTTTCAATATTCTCATCCAAATCATTTATATAAATGATACAGAAAAGTGGACCCAGCACCGATCCCTGTGGAACACTGCTGGTCACAGGCCTCCAGTCTGAAAAACAACCCTACCTCATCACTGTCTATTAATATTTTGAGAATTTGAGTTTTGAATGATTGTGGAAAAATCATGATCTTTGAACCTTGATCTTTGTTTTTATAAAGGGTCATTTTGGACATTGGTAACATTTATTTCAGTAAGGCACGTCTTGGAAACTACATGGTTTCATTTAATTGATGGACTTGTTTAGCCATGAGTTTATTGAAGGGTGGCAGAACAGGCTTGATGGGACAATGTGGCCTACTCTTGAAATTTGCTCATGTATTTGTATTGTGTATCATTCAACAAATAATTGTGTGTTAAAGACACCTGGAAGAAACCTTTTCATTACAATATAGATAAAGTATATTATTAGTCCTATTAGAATCATTAAGTTGGCTCACTTAACCCATATCATTCTAAATGACTGTTAATCATATACTGAATAATTGTGTGTAGAAGTCTCCCCACCACAAGTTAAACTGAGTGGTCTGTAATTGCTGGGCCTAGCTACACAAACCTTTTTCGAAGTTAAAGGCGTAATGTTTGCAATCTTGTAGTCTTCTGGCATCCAACTGAGGGAAGATTGAAAGATAATTGTCAGTGCTCCTGCACTTTCCACTCTTCCTTCACTATTCTTGGATGCATCTAATCTGGCCCTGGTTCCTTATCAACTTTAAATACTGAAAGTTAATCTAATAACTTCTCCTTATAAAATTTACCCATTCCAGTGGCTGAGATTCTTCCTCTGCCACCAAGATCTGAGTAAAGTATTTATTTAACAATTCTGCTATGCCTCTTGCCTTCCCCTTTCTGGGACCTAATCAGTGCGACTCCACCTTTTGTCAACTTTTTATTATTTGTGTACATTTAGAAGAAGGCTTTTTCTCTTATGTTAGCTGCCAGTGACTTTTCATCACCTCTGCTTCTCTTATTTGATTTTTCATCTCCCTTCTGACTGTTCGGTATTCAGCTTGGTACTCAACTATATTTACCACATGACATCTGTCATAAGCACACTCTTTTTCTTCCATAACTTAATTTCTATTTCAGTTGTCATCCAGGGAACACTTGGTTTGTTTATCCCATCCTGTTGAGGACCTGTACCTTGACTGTGCCTCAGTCATCTCTTCTTTGAAGGCTGCCCATCATTCAACTACTGTTTTTGCTACCAAAGCTGGTCTTGTCCCAATGAAGTTGGCTATCCATTAGTTGATTTTCTTATTCTAGTTTGAACAATGTCATTTTTTTAACAACCATCCTAAATCTTAAGATGCAATAGCCACTGCCCCCTAAATGTCCCTTCACCATCAATTGATCTACTCGGCCCACCTCATTCCCAAGTTTCAGGTCTAGCAGTGCCTCCTTTCTTCTGTTGGAAATTCTCCTCAACACAAACTAGGAAAGCCTGCTGCTTAGTGGCCCTTAGATTACCACTATCCCAGTCTATATACCGGTAATTAAAGTCCCTTGTTATAATTACTATGATGTTTGCACCTATCTGTAGTTTCCTTGCAGAGTTGTTCCTCTACATCCTTCCCTTTAGTTGGTGGTCTATACAGTACATTGAGCACTAAAAATGCTGTAGGCCAAGGAAGACAGGATCACCAATACTTGCAAGTTTGTCTCCAAGCCATTTGCCATCTTGACTTGGAAATATATCACCTTTCCTTCAGTGTTGCTGGGTTAAAATCCTGGAAATCCCTCCTGAATGGCATCATGGGTTACATACACCAACTAGACAGGAGCAGTACAGAAAGGCAGATCACCACCACGTTCTCAAGGGCATCTAAGGAAGGGGAATAAAATCTGGCCCAGCCAGTGAGGACACATCTAAACAAATGAATAATGAGACAGATACCAGTGGAGTGATCAGGTGGGCAAAAAAATGAGAAATGAAATTTATTGCGGAGAAACGTGAGGTAATGAACTGGGAACAGCAAATGAGGCGACAGAATACTCAATAAGTGATGGTACAGAGAAGTGCAGAGGTTTAGAAGAATGTTGGAAGGCAAATTCACAGATCTCTAAAAATAACGGGACAGGTAGTAAAGAGTGGTAGTGCATTCTTTCATTTGTTACATGAAACAGAATACAAGAACAAGGAAGCTATGGTAGAACTGCATAAAACACTACATAGGGTGCTGCATACAGCTTACAGAAAGGAAGAGATCCAGATAAAGGACAGAAGAGATCTTGTAAGATGATGCATCGACTGGAGAATTCTAGGTTTAAGAAAATAATAGGCTGGTTTGATTTTTTTTGGAACAGACAAAGCTGAGGGGAGGTTCAACTGAGGCACACAGTTTACAAATAATCTTGATAGAGTGAACAGAAAGAATCTGTCGCCTTAGCGGAAAGTTTATTTCTTTTTTTCTCTTTTGTTGTTGACCAAACTGACAGAAGGATTAGAGAGGTGTTGAGGAGAACTTGTTCATTCAGAAGGTGGTGGAATTCTGGAACCAACTGCCTGAAAAGGTGTTAGAGGAACAAATTTTCACTGCATTTAAAGTATTTAGTTATGCACTTGAAGTTACACAACTTACAAGGCTATGGTTGAAGGGAGATGATGGCCTGGTGGGCTAGACTATTAATCTAGAGATCTAGGCAATGTTCTGGCACCCAGGTTCGAATTCTGCCATGGCAAATGGCAAATTTTAATTAAATAAAAACCTGAAATTGAGCCTAATGATGACAATGAAACTGACGCCGATTGTTGGGAAATCCCATCTGATTCACTAATGTCCTTTTAGAGTATGTATCTGTCATCCTTATCTGGTCTGGTCTACATGTGACTCCAGATACACAGCAATGCGGTTGATCCTTAACTGCCCTCTGGACAATTAGGGAAGGGCAAGAAAATATGGCCTAGCCACTGATGTCCACATCCTGTTACTGAATAAGAGAGGAGCTGGAAAATGTGGATAGAACGGATAGCTCCTTCTTGGCTGTCACAGACATGATCAACTGAACAGCCTCTTTGTACAATAGATTTCTGTGATTTGATGATTATAGCTATTTAATGAATATTTAAGCTATGTTGAGAATTCTGGAAGAGATACCATCAAAAACAAAGTGATTTAGTTATGTGGCTCATATCATTGAACAGAATGGAGCAGGGCACAGTTTCTTTATCAAGTTATTGAACTCAAAGTTGGAGAAGACAAGTGACCAACATACGAGCAAGGAACAAGAGAAGACCATTTGGCCTCAATAATCTTTTAAATCCTTGGCAATCAAGAATCTATCTACTCCTGATTTAAAAAAAATTTAAAGATTCTGCATCCACTGCCTTTTTTGGAATTCCAAAGCCACTCAACCTCAGAGAAAAACAGATTTCTTCATCTCTGTTTTAAATGGGCACCCCCTTATTTTGAAATTCTCCCACAAGAGGAAAGTTCCTTTCAGCATTCACCGTTTTTTTCCTATTCATTTTTGTGGGATGTGGGCATCGCTGGCTCGCCAGCATTTCTTGCCCAACCCTAGTCCCCTCAGGCCAAGTCCCCTCAGGATCTTGTTTCAATTAAGTCACGTCTGACTTTTCTAAACTCCAAAGGATACAGCCCTAGCATTTCTAAAATTTCCTCAGAAGGAAATCCATTCATTCCAGTATTGGTCTAACCTTCTCTGAACTGCCTCCAATGCATTCACATCCTTCCATAAGTACGGTGACCAGTACTGTACTCAGTACTCCAGATGCAATCTCATTGGTACCCAGCATAACTGAAGCATAACCTCCCTATTTTTGCACTCACTTCCCCTCACAATAAACTGAAACATTCTATTAGCTTTCCTGATTACTTGCTGTACCTTTATACTAACCTTCTGTGATTCATGCAAGCCAATCTTCTTTCCATGCCAATAAGTTACCCCCTACACAAGGAGCTTTTATTTTCTACAATAACTTTTGATGCAACACCTTATCTGGAAATCTAAACACAATAAATTCACTGCTTCCCTTTTATTTACAGCATAATTTACTACTTGAAAGAGCTTCAATAAATTAGTTGAACAAGATTTCCCTTTGACAACATCATGTTGGCTCTGTGTGATTACCTTGAACTTAAGATATCAAGCTAACTGGCTGGCCTATAGTTTCCTACTTTCCGCCTCCCTAATACATAAAATCACCTTTCCGTTTAAAATAGTTTGGAACTAAACCATTAGCACAGAAGACCCATGGGATAAAGTATTCAAAGAAAATGGGAATGACATCTTTGACATGCAATCAGAAGCACAGGCTGTTGAGGAGCACAGGACGGCTGTATGAGATGCATCTTCTCAGGTTAAATTTCACAAACAATGGAATTGTATTAATTCAGACCAAGGGTAAAGTGTTAGCTTGGGCTATTTCAGCCTGAAGGGTTTTCATTGGAAAAGGAATGGCCTTCCATGGAGCATTAGTATTCAATTACACTTTTTCAATCTTGTTTCCACCTTCAAAATAAACAACAGTGAAAGAAGTCTGTCAAAATGTTTTCTATTTCTAACAAAGGGTTAGAATATACAATGTATAGAGAAAATAAGCTAATATACTTAAAACAGTGAGATAATGAGAAAGAGACAATATTGTGTGACGGACAAAACAGAATTAAAGGATTTAATTTTAATTAAAATGATAATTTATTTTCTTAACCCTCATTAAGTGGTTTTTACCATGGTGACTGTTTCTTTTGGCAGATAAACATCTGAACTGAAATGACCCTACACCAGTGATCATTAGAAGGACTGTTATAGTGCAATGGTCAAGTTCGACCTGCTTCAGAGGCGTGTAATAACGTCTCTGAACAGGATGATGAAAAAATATCTACACCAGTCATCATGAGAGGCAGGAACATTCAGCTTCTGCTGGCTGTCAAAGGGTCAAGCAATGCAAGAACATCTATAAAGTTATAGTGTACAGAACCTCCCCCTGCCCGGTTTGGCATGATCAATGGTAAGAAAGGTGGGAAAGTATAGTGAGAATGAAACAGTATCAGCTCTTGATGTTGAGAAGACATTTCCTAATTTTCCCCTCAAGCTTTAAATGGAGACAACAGAATCTTGCCATTGAGTTGTCACTACCTTATTTCCACGCATTTGCAATTTATTTAAGCTCCGACTCACCCTATTTACATACCACTTTCTGTTCTCCATTCCTTCATCGAGAAACTAAATGGTACAAATTCCTGACATATAAATCACAGCATATACCGAGCAGTTTGCCAAATGCTTGACCTGGCCATCATACAAATGCTTTGTGACTATGCCCCTGCAAACTCCATAGCTACTATCGTCCTCAACTCTACATCCATACAAATCAGCACCAGCAAACCATCAGCCTCATAACATCATGCCTGCTCTCTGACCAACTCTTACACCAGTTTAACCGTTCAGTCCTTAAGTTGAAGCTCAGGGACACTTATGACTTGCAGATCACTGATGCACAGAGACAAACATCAATCTCATGCCTCTGCATAGGGTCTCTCTTATAGCTTGCTTTGTTAGCATTAACTTACTTTGCACTTACTTGAAGGCTGCCAGCCTCTGTCTACTTCACATTGCTTTAGTTGCACATGATCAACGATTTTGGGGATAACCAGGTGTAGAGCTGGACGAACGCAGCAGGCCAAGCAGCATCAGATTTCGGCACTGATTTAGGGGGTGCAGCCTCTGTATGGCCCTCATTACTCTCTTACATTTGTGGCTGTAAAGCCAGCCATTAACAGTACAAATAAGAAGAAAAAATACTTGCAGCACAATTGATCAGCACCTTTCAATCAGAACGTAACTTGTGTTTTGCAAGAATAGCTGTTACATATTCATCGATATATTTCGATATGTGTTTGTACCTTTCGTGCAGCTTGCTGAAAGTGTTTGAGAGCCCTATGTCGAACTTCCCAGGGATCATTAGAATAAGGATCAAATTCTGGGACATGGCTTGGAAGCTGTAAGGAAATAAAGAAGAAATCATATTTTTTTTAAGTTGGCCACATTCATTTCTGACAACAAAGTTGATTCTTCTAAGACATTTTATTTGCACATCATAATTGTACTTCAGCATCATTATCTTAATGTGATTAACAATGAGAATAATGAATAAGGTAATACTCTGCAACTGCATGACTGTGTTTCTGCAAAGTATCATTATAAAAATACTACACAGATTTATTTAAATAATGTCATTCAATATAAATATATATAAATGAAAAATTATACCAATTTACTATTTTTCTTTTTATATCCTGCACAATATACATCATTCTGAAATGAACACAGAATGTGCCTTGAATTTACTAAGGGTTGGGGAATTTCAATGTCCATCATCAAAACTAACACAATTACAAATAAATTTAGTGAGGGCAAAATAATGTGACCTAATCCTCACACAGCTTCCTGTTATGCATGCGCCTGTCCAAAACATCATTGGTAAGAGAAAGCAACACAAAGCCATCAACTGTGTTGTCTGACTGATATTGCACTAAATGGTCAATTTAGAATAGAAAGCAGCTCAAAACTGAGCCAACAACAACGGCAGAATTGTATTCCACCACAACCTGTATCTTGTGATACAATACCCATAGAGTCCAATGCTTCTTCCGAATAAAAGATTTAAATTCCCAGTAACCGACTCAAAGGATCACGGAAGATTTCACATTTTAAAGACTTTGACCACAACAAAGTCAAAATTAACTAAGGGTACATTGTACGCAACTAATAGACCAGACTGCAAAAAAAACCCTCCCTTTACTTCCTAATGTGACTGAAAACCTCTCACTGCATTTATTATTACCCCGCATTCTTGACTAATTGTAGTCTTTGAGGATTTGTTGACAAACAGAAAACAGAATAAGGGTTAATGGGTCCTGTTTAGGTTGGAAAGACATAACTAGTAGAATGCCCAAGCATCAGTCTGAGGGCCTTAAGTATTTACTATCTATGTTAAAAGGGTACCAGTTAGGTTACTTGGCTGGATGGCTAGTTTTATGAAGCCAGTGTGGGTTCAATTCCTGCACCAGTTGAGGTTACATCACAGAATACCTTTCTCAATCTCTCGCCTCACCTGATGAACCTCAGGTTAAACCACCACCAGTCAACTCTGTCTAATGAAACTGCAGCTGTCTGGTGACAATATGGCAATTTTACCTTTTTATACTAATAACATGAAGGAAGGGGGGGTCAGAGTGTAATGTATCCAAGTTTGCTGATACAAAACAGGCAGAAGGACATGTTTATTGAGAATGAAAGGAATGTGCAAGAAGACATAGATAATTTGACGGGGCAAAAACTAGGCAGACAGTTCAAGATAGAAAAGTGTGAGGTCATACACTTTGGTAGGAAGATTCAAAAGGCAGACTATTAGCTAAATAAAGAGAAAATCCAAAAACATGACGGGGGATCTGAATGTTCTTGTGCAAGAACTGCATATAATAGTGGGGCAGGCTTGAGATGCTAAGTGGCATATTCCTGCTCCTATTTCTTATGCTATGTTCAAATACATCCATCGGACTTAATTGATACTTCAATTCCTTGAACTGAGAATCAAATAGCCTCTTCCTTGAGCCTTCATACAATTGACCTTTAGACTTTCTAAGCTTCAACTAACACCTTAAGGGTTTTAATCAAACATTTCTGGTTTGGAACTTTTAACCTAAACTTCTTGCATTGAGGTAACCTATTCCTTTAACAGTTCTAAATGTTATCCCTTTAGTAGAAATTGTTTTACACATCCACCTTCAGACAGGGTTTCCGCAATACTGAAACCAAAAGGTTTCCTCAAGATATTGGTGAAATAATTCCACAGAGGCTGGTATCCCATTATCAAGTTACCCTATATTTACCCACAGAGAGTCCTTGACATTGGTCCAGCTTCCTCTGAGCCAGCTTTGAGTCAGAATGTCAGACACTCCTGTTTATATCTGTCAGCCAGGGTTCCTTGATTGGACCAGATTAACAGCCCCAATCAGTGGAATCATATTCCATGAGGTCCACCTGGCTGATCTAGTTACAATGACTACATCCCTCCCGTTCCTAGTCCGAAGGCATAGGTCAGTTTTTTTTTGCAGTTACTCCTGGGGCATTTTAGCACTGAGTCAGTTTCTTCCAATGCTACCATTGATATAGGTGGCACATACCCCACAGTAGCTCACCTCTTGTGCCTGGAGCATCTTGGAAGAAATTCACTCTCCTATTCAGGAGGCAAAATCATCAAGGTGATGATACCCACCATGTCCATCTCAGATTCTGAGGTGTCTTCAACACTTGACACAGAGGGAGAACTCATGGGTTTTGAACAGTTGGAAAGGTAGTTGAGGAGCCGGGCACGTTGCTCCCCCACCATTTGCGAGTCTGCAGCTTTCATATGGTCCACATGCTTGTTCAGGACCATTACATCTTCCTGGTTTTTGCACATCTTTGGCCCTGACCTCACGTTGACCATGCCTCTTACCCATGCAGGGCCATTCCCATGGTTCCCTGGATTTTGTTCCCTGGAGTAAACTGTCTCTCTCAATTAGTGGAGTCTTGTGTCTGGTGTTGATGTTCCTGATGCCATATCACACTCCTCCCTCGTCCCACAAAGTCCAGGAAAATTACATTTAACCTGGTGTGGAGTCTTCTCCCCTATTATCAACACTGCTACAGCCATCCCTGTAGTTGCATGAGTGGTGGACCTATAATCAAATAGCAACCGAGACAGTTTGGTGTTTTGAGAAGTTGTAGGCTGTTTCTTTTAGCTTGCCTTCAAAGTTTGGACCGTTCTTTCTGCCAGACCATTGGATGATGGATGGCACGGAGCTGTCCTCACATGATGAATAACATTCGACTTTAGGAAATATTCAAATTTCCTGCTGGCAAATGATGGCCCATTATCTATGACCAACACTTCCAGGAGTCAGTGTATTGTAAAAGATGCATGCAGTTTTTCTGTCATCATCCCCGTGTTTGACAAGTGAACGCCATGCATCTTCAACCAGTTTGAGTGGGCATCCAAAATGACTGAGAACATTGGGCCCATGAGAGGATCTGCATAGTCGGTGTGTAACTGAGTCCAGGGTTTACCTGGCCAGTCCCACACATGTGGAGGAGCTGCTTGTGGCAAATTTTTGTTCTTGTTGGCACTCTTGGCACTGCCCCAGCAACACAGCTATGTCTGCATCCAATCCTGGCCACCAGACATAACTTCTCACCAACATAATTTTGGAAAACCCTGGATGACCCTGGAGGAGTTCAGGCAATATCTGGTGGTGACCTTTGCTTGGGACAATCACTCTTGCTCCCCATAATAACATGGCAACTTCTACTGTGATCTGGTCTCTCCAGGTGCCCCCATCACCACCAGCTGTTTCAGGTTTCTCAAGACCAGATCTTTCTGTGTTCAAAGTCTGATATTGCCAGCTGTGACTGTAGGTGTGTCCAAAAACCATTATGGACTCTTCCGGTACTGCAGTAGTGTATCTGCTAGTGGGAGGCTACTCAAGGCATCTGCATTTGCTATTTGGCCTTCTGAACAGTGTTCCAAATTGCAATTTTATGCACTTAGTATTACAGACCACTGCTGAATTCGGCCCGAAGCTATGGGCGTCATTGCCTTGTCCTCTTTTAAGTAGACTTAGCAGGGGTTCATAGTCCATTACTATTACAAATTTACATCCGTGAAGGTATTTGTGGAACTTACTGACTCCAAATATGACTGCCAAACCTTACTCCTCTATTTGGGCGTATTTATGCTTTGCATTATCCAATGTCCTGGATGCATACACAATTGTGCGTTCCTCACCGTTGGGCCACCTATGAGCTAATACTACGCCAATGTTGTACAGGGAAGCAGAGCATATCAGTACTAGATCTCACTTGGGATTATAGAGTGTCAACACCTTAGAGGACGATAGCTGTTTCTTCTCTTTCTTGAAAGCTATGGCTTGGCTATGAGACCATTTCCAACGCTGACCCTTTCTTAGGAGTTGATGCAAAGGTGCCAGGATGGAGGCCAGGGTTATGTATGAACTTTCTGTAATAGTTCACCAGCCCAAGGAAAGGCCTAAGCTCCGGTACAGATGTTCAGACTGGGGCACCTTTAATCATCTTTATTTTATCTTCCATCGGGTGTAACCCAGTTGTGTCAACTCTGTAGCCCAAGTAGGTTTCTTGGGGTGCCTGGAACACATTTTTCCCTTCTATGGTGTATGTCTGCCCAGGAGAAATGTCCAAGTTCCTTAAGAGCTTCTTATTGGTCTTCCCTTTTATCACCACATCATTAGATAAATGATGACCTGGGTAGACATTGTAAAATGTTCTCCATCATCCACTGGAAAATTGCACAGGCTGATGATACCCCAAATGGCAGTCTTGTATGTTGGTACAAACCTCTATGGGTAATAACTGTAGCATACTTCTGGGAATCCTCCTCTAACTGCAATGGCTCAAGTCCAGCTTTGTGAAGGACAGGCCCTCTGCCAGCTTTGCTTATAACTCCTCTACGCACTAGGTTGGGTATTTATCCAGCTGCGAGAAGCAGTTTACTGTTTGTTTAACATCCTCACAAAGGTGAACCGACATGTCGAGCTGCAGAATCAGTATGACTGGTACTGCCGATTCCTCAAACTGGCCTGATTTGATGATTCCTTCGCTTTCCAACCTCCTGATTTCTGTATCTACTTTTGCACATAAGGCAAACGGCACTGGGTAGGCCTTGCAGAATCGTGGAATTGCTTCCTGGTCAACATGTAAGGTGGTTTGGCTCCTTTGATAGTCCCTGGACCTTCTTGAAACACTTCCAGGACTTTAGGCCTTCACTCAGGCAGCCATTTTCTAATCGAAAAATGTTGAGCCAATCTAGGTGAATCTTTCTCAACCTCTGCCCCATCAAGATTGGGCCCAAGCTTTTTCCTACAATCCATGGTAACTGAACCAGCTGCTTCTCATTAGAGACTGGAACTGAAGTTGTACCCTTAACCTGTAAAGGTTGCCCAAATAAGGTTCTCTGTATAGCTGAGGTCTTGCACAAACTTAAGGGCTGGAGTCTGGGGAGAATTTTGTTAAAGAGTGGTTCTGCGATCACTGAAATGGTTTTGCCAGTATCAACCTCCATTCGGCCATTTAACCAGACATTTATTTGGATTGGCTCTGATTTGGATGTTGCAATTTGACTGTTCCAAACCAGACGTACATGGACTTTCTAGGGTGTGCACTCTCCTGGATACTGGCCTATGAGTTCTGTTACTCAATTTAGGTCTAGTGGGACTCTTGTGCTGTCTTGAGTCAGCATGTTGGCAGCAACGACAATGGCTTGCTGGCCCAGATCCTGAAGCAAATGTTAACTGTTTGTCCGAGGCTTGGCTTTGTTTGGGGTTTTGCTGTGGGCTGACATAGAGTCCCTCTGTTCAGGATATGTCCAGAGTGAGGGTACGCAGTTGCCTTCACTCAGTTGTGTTCCCTAAGCTCAGTTGGACTGGCAAGGATGTCCACTTCCATTGGAATACCCGGCAACTCATTTACTCCACTTAAGGTCCAGTTGGGCTTCAGCTAGTGGATGCTTTTGCATGATTACATCATTAGTCCCACATACCAAACAGTCTCTCAGCATCTCATTAAGAATTAAACCAAAGTCACGTGCCTCTGCCAGTCACCTTAACCTAGTCAAAAATCCCGATACAGATTCCCCTGGTTCTCAAATTGCCAAGTAAAACTGATAGCATCTCAGAATTTCAGAAGTCTTGGGGTCATAAAATTCTTTAACTAAATCTGTCAACTTTTGAACGGTTTCTGTATCTGGTGCCTTTGGGGAAGCTAAGTTCCCAACGTTTGAAAAAGCCGCGGATCCCCAAGTTGTCAGGAGAATTACTCATTGCTTTTAATCTGCACCAGTGTCATTTGCCTGGAAAAAAAATAATGCATTCTTTCCACATACTGGGCCCACAAGTCAAGCTTCCCAAATAATGGCATGACATCAGAAATGCTTATCCCAACTTAAACACAACTGTTGCGAGCAAATCTCTTCAGGAGCATGCTTTTCTCTTGTTGCCGCTGAAATAACTCCAGAGCTGGGAGCCCATCACCAAGTTACCCTTAATTTACATGTGGAGAGTCCTTGGCACTGATCCAGCTTCCTCAGAGCCAGCTCTCAGAGTGAACAAATCCTCTGACACTCTATTTATACCCATGAGCCATGGCTCCTTGATGGAGTCTGTTAATCTGGTCCACCTGGCTGACCTCAATACAATCACTATAATGGCCATTTCTCTTAAGCCAAAAAAAATGCCAGGTCCTGCTAAATGAAACTTAATGCAGTGTACTGTTTGCTTTGTTTGCTTGTAAAAGCTATTGTTGTTGCTCCTACTGTAGCTGTGATCATGGTGAAATAACTATTCTTGAACCTCACCTGAGGGGAAATGTGGAGCTGCGCAAGCTACTTCCATGTCACTATGAATATTGGAAGCATATTAGTGCTTTCTAAGCTACTGATAATCCCATGTAATCCAATAAAAACACTGTCTGAGAGAAGAAGTTATTTGAATAGCAGTCTGTAATGCCCATGGCTGGAACTTTTGAATTCAACTAATAAAAGCCATCAGCTTGTCAGTTGCATTGAATAAGCTTTTTCTGCTTGGCACCCTCCTTGGTGACCAAGACAAGTTGCTGATGCAAAAACAGAAATTGCTGGAAAAACTCAGCAGGTCTGGCAGCATCTGTGGAGAGAAATCTGAGTTAATGTTTCAGGTTCAGTGGTCCTTCTTCAGAACTGATACATTAGGAAACACATTTCATGACTGGGAAATTCAGAATTCTCTGTAAAGACAGCTAATATTTGGCATTTGAGTGATCTTAACCACTTCCTAACAACAATATGCATTCCTGCTCTCCCTCAATTTCATCCTGGAGAAAGCCAGCACAGAGTGACATCACATCAGGATCTATAGAACTTTCTCATTCCATTCATCCCTTAATCTTCCTCCAATGGTCCAGGAAAATTCTGTTTCTTTCTCCACAGATGCTGTCAGACAGGCTGAGTTATTTCTTGCATTTACTGTTTTTTTTATTTCTAATAAATAATCTCTTCTGAAGGCTGTCATAATGTGATCATTCTGAGACATTCACCATGGCTTTACATTTTCAGACAGAAAGACAAGTGTCTGCATGGATTCCTTTTATCACCTCCTCTGCCAGCAAATTCTGTCAACTCTTTATAAACTTAGATTTTCTCATAATTTACCATATTTCTGTCTAATTTGTTAATAAGAAATCTCTGACTGTACTTTGATAGGACAAGGAATCTAATTTTCATGTTATTCTAGTATTTAGCCATGAATGTTGTACTCTTTTATGATTGATTTCTTATTTGTATTAAAAGATTACTTTGATTCATTTAACAAAAATATTGGATGGCATTCTTTCTTCTTCAACCATCTGCCCTTATGCAATTCTGCTTTCTAGTTCCCAAAAAAACCAAATGAAGTAATTCATACAACGTTAACTGTGAAAACAGAACTCACCTGTCCAATGCTACGTAGAATACGCTTCAAAGAAATCACAGTTTCATGCCTTTCACATTCTTTTTCTGGCACAGGAACATCCAAATGTACCTACAAAGTGAAAACACCAATATTATTACATATCTTGGACATTCTAGGCCATGGAAAACACACGTCAGATTAATTCTGAGTGGAGTTACTGCATGGATGCATAATGAAAACACAAATAGTTAATTTTCTTTCTGCATTGACAGGATCTGCAAGTCGCCAAATTTAGTAATATAGTCTAGTTCTTCAGATACACCTTTATAGTGAGGACCTTCAGTATAAATAATACTCATATTGCTACATGTATTCAGTAAGATAGTGATCTTGCAAATGAAAGAACATATTATCCTAAACTTAGTTGATGCCATAAAATATGAAAAATGGTTGAAATAATTCCTACATGAACTACCTCAATAAAAATGTAAAGCTATTTATTTAGAATGGTTGAACATTTTCTAATGACATGTGGGAAATGATTTCCCTACTTTAGCAAATAAGATGGCTCTGATCATGTTCTGCATTACTGTCTTCCTTCAATCAATACATCGCTTCTATATAATGATCTTAAATAAGCTGCTCTTTGAACAGTTAATAAAATATCCATTATTAGAAAAAGATACATTGCACAAGTCTCCCTGCCTTCTCCTGAAGACAATAATGGGTTTTGGCATCTGTTCCTCAGATACTAACAGCCCTATCTTATGCTAATGATATTTTTCATGTATAAATGTAGAAATCAGACTATTTTGCTGCAGGTTGAATTTGCGCTTGCATTCAAACATCAACATGAAGATCTAATTTCAAGTGGTTACCTTTAATGTTTAACCATTGACCAGAAACTGAAACGTACTAGCCATATAAATACTGTTGCAACAAGAGAAGGTCAGGGGCCAGAAATCCTGCAGAATGTAACTCACCTCCTGACTCCCCAAAGCCTGTCCATCATCTACAAGGCACTGGCCAGGAGTGTGATGGAATTTTACCCACTTGCCTGGATGACTGCAGCTCTAACAACACTCAAAAGACTTGACACCATCCAGGACAAAACATCCGCTTGATTGGTACCACATCCACAAACAATCACTCACTCCCTCTACTACTGATGCTCAATAGCAGTAACATGTACCAACTGCATTGCAGAAACTTACTAAGGCTCCTTAGCACCTTCCAGACCCAAGACCTCCACCATCTAGAAGGACAAGAAGCAAACACATGGAAACACCACCACCTGTAGTTTCCCTCCAAGCCATTCACTATCTTGACTTGGAAGTATATTGCCATTTCTTCAGCGTCACTGGGCCACTATCCTGGCACTCCCTTCCTAAACGCATTATGGGTTTAACTATAGCAAATGGAATGCAGCAGTTCAAGAAGTGAGCTCACCCCCACTTTCCCAAGAGCAGCAAGAGAAGGACAATAAATGCTGGTCCAGCCAGTGACACCCACATCGCAAGAATGAATAAAAAAAAATAGAAATGAGAATGCTGGTTTACCCTTTTACTTACAATCCTGGAAAAACTCAAATTGTTAACTCTGTTTGTCTCTGCATAGCTGCTGCCAGACCTACTGAATTTCTGCAGCACTTTCTGGCTTCATTTTTTAAAAAAAATGTTCTGAGTTCTCATGCACATTCAATCAAACATAATTAGCCTGAAATTCTGATTGGGTCAATATGGACTGAGCAAGAACAGAATTTTTTTATTGAACTTATTTCCTCCTGATTGTGCCCCCATCTAAAATAGGTTGAATCTGACAGTCCAGGGTTCAAACTCTTCCACGTGTGATAATTTATGTAACCTTGTTTTATTGTAGCAGACAGTATTATTTGCAAAGGCACAATCTCCTCAAAATCTTGTTTAGAGATAGTGGTTTGGGAAATCAAATTTAAATGAAGTAAATGAATCACTTTGCGAAACAGTTCCGTTTTGATCTATTTGAGGCTCACAATGCTAGTTCTCCCTTCAGGTCATTTTGGCCTCACAATCATTACCTTGTACTGTTCCAAAGATATTCAATGTATAGTCCCTCATATTATTCATATACACATGCAAATATCTACTGTGAGTATAGATTTCAATGATTTTGTGCTCTAGTTTTTTTCCTAATTTTTAAATCTGTTTTAACCTTATATGGTCTGGCAGCATCTGTGAAGGAAAAAACAGAGTTAATGTTTCAGGTCCGGTGGCCATTCCTCAGAACTCAGGAAGGGTAATCGGACCCGAGACATTAACTCTGTTTTTTCCCTCACAGATGCTGCTAGACCTGCTGAGCTTTTCCAGCAACTTTGTTTTTGGTCCTGATTTACAGCATCCACAGTTCTTTCTGTTTTTATTAACTTCATATGAGGTTTTCATCCTTTCTACTTGTTTTTGCATTTATCTCAGATCATTCACCTTTAGTTATTTGCACATCTTTTTATGGCTAGGTGGCTCAGTTGACTAGAACTGTGTTGTTAACAGTACCAACAATAAGGGTTCGTTCCCTCTTCTAGAAGAGGGGATCCTGTTTATTCTTCTTGCCTCGTAGAATCATAGAGTCATACAGCATGGAAGCAGACCCTTCAGTCCAACTTGTCCATGCTGAGCAAGTTTCCCGAACTAAACCAGTCCCACTTACCTGCGTTTGGCTAATATCTTTCTATACCTTTTCTATTTATGTACCTGTCAAAATATCTTTTGAATGTTGTAACTCTATCTGCATTTACCACTTCCTGTGACAGTTCAATCTACATAAGAACCACCCTCTGCATGAAAAAGTTGTCTCTCGGCTCCCTTTTAAATCTTTCTTCACTCATCTTAAAATGTGCCCTCTCGTTTTGAACTCTCACCCTCGAGAAAAGACCATTGCCATTCACCTCATTTATGCCCTCATGATTTTATAAACCTCTACAAGGTCACCCCTCAATCTCCTAGGCTCCAGTGAAAAAAAGTCCCAGCTTATCCAGCCTCTCTTTATAACTCAAACTCTTCAGTCCTGGTAACATCCTTGTAAAACTTTTCTTCACCTTCTCCAATTTAATAATATCCTTTCTATACCAGGGTGACCAGAACTGTACACAGTACTTCAAAAGTGGACTCACCAACATCCTGTACAATCTCAACATGACGTCCTAAACTCAACGGCCTGAGCAATGAAGACAAACATGCCAAAAGCCTTCTTTACTATGCTGTCTAACTTTCAATGAAGTATGTACCTCTTTAATATATCATGGCAGAGAGATGTCTGCCATGATATATCAATGAGGTACATACCTTATTGAAATCCAGTGATGGAAGGAAAACTTAATGTTCTCTGTGCCATGAGCATTATTCATTCAGTGAGGTTCCTACATGAAGAAATAAATATTTTGAAGATTAGTCATTGCTGAGATGCAAGTCATGGCCAACTAATCTGTGTGCAGCTGTTCCATAAACACCAATGCAATAATGACCTGATAAATTTCAGAATAGAAGATATACAGCATTACCCTTGAGCCTATGTCTGTTCTCAGTAAGATTAATTCAGCTAGTTCCATTCTTTATTTTTTCCCTGCAAATTCCTTTCTTTTCAGGTGCTTAACAAATTCCCCTGAGAGCCACAATTGAATCTGCCTCCATTGCACTTTCAAGAAAGCATTCTGGTTTCTAACCACTTACTGTATCAACCAGTGGTTCTTTAACACATTGCCATAAATCTCTGTATCCTGCTTTTCTAGACTTCTACTCATGGGTACAGCTTCTCTCCAACTATTCTAATTAGACACCTCATAATTTTGAACATTTATATCAGATCTCCTTTCAAACTTCTCTTTGACAATCAGAACAATCCCACCCTTTCTAATTTATCCAAGTAACTGAAGATTCTTATCCAAGGAACCATTCTGGAAATTAATTCAGCATGGTCTCTAAAGAATTTACATCCTTCATGAAGCACAATGCACACAATGCTCCAGTTCAGGGCTTTTGAGAAAATTGTGAAGGCCTGGCTTCAATTGTCACTTGCCCTGGAGATGTGTCATAACAACTGTCACAAGTTGATTCAGTTGTGGCCGAATCACTGATTCATAAAAGTTCAACATAAGTTCCGTGATCTTGAACTCCATGTTATCTTTACAAAATCCAGAATACCATCTGCTTTTTAACCATTTTCTCAACATATTACCACTTTAAACAAGAGATAGTAGGAACGCAGCCACTTTAAACAAATTGTGCACACATAATACCAGACTATTTCTGCATACCCTTTAGAATTGTACTCTGTTGCTTATATTTCCTATCTACATCTTAAGTACATGTGCACCTCTTGACAATTAAAATTCATCTTACAGGTTTGTCCATTCCATCAGATTGTCTATGCCCCTTTGAAGACTATCACAATCCTCATCAATGTTTATGATATTTCATATTGCATCTTCAGAGAGGGTTCTCATTGGAGTTTACAATAAGCAGACAATTTGGGGTTTATCACCTCTTCTTTTGTCTGGGACCCTCATATAGCAGCCGATTCTGTAAGAAACACTTCTTCTACCTTCGAATCCACCTACAGATTTCTAGGAGTGCAGTGAAGAGGTCTAGCAGTTTGGACCGGCAGAAGTTGAAGTCATGGCAACTGCTAGGAAAGTGAGTGCAACAATGCAGTAAGTTCTTGTTTTTGTTGCAGACTTGGTGAATGATGACAGAGTGGAAAGTCCTTCCTGTTCAAAAATCTCTCTTGGTGGTCAGTCAGTGTCTGATGGTCATTTGGGTGCAACTGCAACTGGGGGAATCCAGTGATAGAAGGAAAACCTAATGTTCTCTGTGCCTGAAAGGTCTATGTTTGTCTGGTAAAGATATACCATCAGATTCTCACAAAAAAATAGTCTCAGTGACTTGTGAGATACAATGGTGTGTAATCATTCCAAGATGCCACCAATGTCCACAGAAGATACTTGGAAGGTCCCAGAAGCAAAACAGTTCAAAGCAACAATGACTTTAGCGACTGTCCTTACATGGTAACCAGTAGTGTGAGGTGAAAGGTCTTCTACAATAAGGGCACAGATGTTGGTGATTATCTGTGTGGAGAGTCAGTGTCTCCTGCAGCATTGG